GCCATGATGGACACCACAATTAACAGTAATACAAACCATAATACCCGTAATACAAAGGACCACTACAAACTAAAAAAAACCCAAGTGCACCAAGAACCAAGGAAAAAATATTGGCTTAACAAAACAGATCAAAGACCCTGAACAAGCCCCCAAATATACTACAGCCCCACTATAGTTACGGCAAGGTAAAAGTCGGCAGCTGATTTTTTTTTACTTTTTAAAGAAAATACAAAATACAAAACAATGACAATGTGTCCCCACCTATCTTAGATATGGCATGACTTTAAAAGCTATAAAAATGGTTTTAGATAGTTAAACACCACTCATTATGCACGAAATGGGTTAATTTTCTTCCTAGTGATCAGCTTAGAATCTTTGTGAACACTGTAAGTTAAAATAATTTTGCCAATGCAACATGAAATATATACCAAAAAAATCACATTCTCCTCTTAAAACCAGGAATTACTTAGCTAAAGCTGCATCGGTGACTATTGGGAATGTGTTTCAAGTAGGCAGCTGCATCAGCATGCGTAGGCTGCATAGGAACAAGTAAAGCTTTATTCCATATTGAAAAGAGAAGAAAACAAACAATGTTTCAGCTGTGGAGCCTTCTTATCTGGAATTAAATGTTTCTTATTGGGTATGTGTTTTGATGGAGAGTTTCTCTTCTACCGAACTGTGAGGTGATAATGCACTAGCTAGCCAGCGCAAAACAATCACCACTGTTCTCTTTCTGAGCATCCTGGAGAAGATCTGGAGGTCCATTCATTCATGTTATTACTAAAAGACCTGCTGATCTGCTTCACACCACAGGAAGAGGGGATTTCTGTCTGAAACGTGTGCTGCGTTTACAAAATTAAAGTGGTTTTAATTACGTTAATTAAAAAATAAAAAAAAGTTTTATAACTTGTACAAGGTACACAAAGATTCTAAGCTGTTCACGAGGCAGAAAAATCACCCGTTATCTAAACCCATTTAGCTTTTAAAGTCATGCAATGTCTATTTTAGGCAGAGACATATATATATA